CATGTCATTGCCTCACTTAAGGTTTGGTTTCCCATCTTACATTATTGGAATTTCAGGAGGGTACAGCAAGGGGCAACAGAAAGAAACAAAATCCACACACAAATTTCCCCAAACCTGAAAATAAATAAAACATATTATCAGAATGTTTTCTCTATAAATTATGCTCCACAATGAGGTAAAAAACTATATTATAATGATACCTAGCTGTTTATTCTGCATTTAATAGTGCTTTTAGCCATAGCACACATGCCCCAGTTCTTTGTACCAAACCAGAATTCAACTTGTAGCCTTACAACAAAATGTCTAGTCAACTTGGCCAGAAACTGCGAAGAAATTTGGCCTTAAAATGAAGAAACACCTTCAAACATTTGCAATTTCACAAGTTAAGTTTGTGGTGTTTTGATGTGTCCTCCGAGGGCTTTTGAGCCTTTGGAGTTCTTTTTCTTCTCATTACTACTCGAAGAGCTAGAAACGTATAATGGGCTGAATGGAAGGCAATTTGTTTCCTGCTAGAAGTGCTGTCACACTGTTTCCACTGCGAAAGGCCCACACATGCTGCATCATTACAACTTCCTATCTTAGAAAATGAAAAACTCAATCTAAACTAAAAGCTTTTAACATAAGTTAAGAAAGTTTAAAAATAAGTGTATTGCCCTATATGTTGCTAAAGCAAACGATATAGATACTCATTACTCCTAGTACTTTTTTCTAAAGCTTTTCTGTGAACACTTTTCTAAGAAAGGGATCCCAAGAAAGCCACAGGATGTACTAAGTTTCTGCCAGAAAATTTGCAGTTGCTTCTGAAGTGTTTCACTGTGTATAAAGGAGAGGAAGTAGAGCAAGGCTCAAAACAGCTTTAGGCAAGAATGGCTGAAAGGATGTTGCAGAGAGGGCTGCAAACCAATTACTGCATGATGGAATAAAACCAGATAATGGTGGACACCAATAAGCGACTTGCAGTGCAGCTTGGGAGACTGATTTGTTCTTCTAGCTCGCTTAAGCTGCTGGAGAGTTCAAGGTGAAACCTAATGATTCATGTCTGCCAGCCAAATGAATCATTCAACACTGGACAGCTATCAAAACTGGACTGTTTGGCTATTTGGAGAGAGTGCAAGCAGAAAAAAAAAAAAAAAAAAAGAAAAAAAAAGAAACAACCCAAACTGCTCAAGTTCCGAAAGCTCTGATTGGCACCAAGCAGCACACACTACAGAAAACATGGCAAGTTCTCTGGAAATATAAACAAGTTTTTGACAGCCAAGGCCAAAGTGTGGTCTGTCAATTCCCTGGAAGAAAAGGAAAAAATAATAAGTTATTTGGGAGTAGAACCTTGTCTGGGAAACAATTAATGTAATAGTGGGGATGGGAACCAAACAAAATTATGCATCACAGCAAATAATAGGATTCAAAATGTACTGGGTTTGCTTGGTCGGGTTTTGGTAGCAAGGGGGCTACACGAGTGGCTTCTGTGAGAAGCTGCCAGAAGCTTCCCCCATGTCCAACAGAGCCAATGCCAGTGCCAGGAGGGACACACCACTGGCCAAGGCTGAGCCAATCAGGAATGACAGTAACACCTCTGTGATAATATATTTAAGAAAAGGTTATTGTGCAGATTTAATTGCACTCAGACACGAGAGGAGTGAGAATATGTGAGAGGAACAGCTCTGCAGACACCAAGGTCAAGTGAAGGAATGGGAGGAGGTGTTCCAGGTGCCAGAGCTGACATTCCCCTGCAGCCTGTGGTGAAAGACCATGGTGAAACAGGCTGTTTCCCTGTAGCCCATGAAGGTTAATGGGAGTGCAGAGATACACCTGCAGCCTGTGAAGGAGACCCATACTGGAGTGGGTGGATGTCCGAAAAGAAACTGTGAACCCATGGGAAACCTGTGCTGGAGCAGGCTCCAGGAAGGGACCTGCAGACCCATGGAGAGAGGAGCCCACACTGGAGCAGGTTTGCTGGTAGGACTTATGACCCTGTGGGGGACCCACACTACAGCAGGCTGTTCTTGAAGGACTGCATCCTGTGGAAAAGTGACCCATGCTAGAACAGTTCATAAAGAACTGTAGCCCATGGGATGGACTCATGCTGGAGAAATTCATGGAGAGCTGTCTCCTGTGGAAGGAACCCCACACTGGAGCAGAGGAAGGACTCTTCTTCCTGATCAGTAGCAGGAACAGCGTGTGATGAACTGACCATATACCCCTTTCCCACCTTCCTGTGCCACTGTGGGGGAGGAGGTAGAGCCTGGAAAGGAGGAAAAGGTGGGGAAAGGTGTTTTTAAAAATTTTTTTACTTCTCAATTATCCTGCTATGATTTTTTGGTAACAAATTCAGTTAATATTCCTAATTCAAGTCTTTTCTGCCTATGACAGTAATCGATGAGTGATCTCTCCTTGTCCTTATCTCAATTCCTGACCTTTTGTTATATTTTTCTCTCCCCTGTCCTGTTGCAGAGGGGAGTGATAGAGCGGCTTTGGTGGATACTTGGCATGAAGCCAGGGTCAACCCACCACAAAAAGCATACTGAAAAATCAAGTTGCTGGTGATAGACCAACAACAGGGCTGCAGTATGACTGTTTTATATTTGCCAACAAAAGCCAGGACATGTTATAGTGACACACATGCAGGTCAAAGTCTACAATAGCTGCTATTGCACACCATTATCAATTCTAAGCAACTAAAAAAAAAAAAAAAAGTCAAATCTAGACAAAATAAATCTTAACTTGTAAGGAGATTCGTGCCTATGAGAACATTTCACTCCATTCCTCCAAAATTCATTCCAAAATCAATTTAGGTCTTATGATATCTAGTTGGTCCAAAATCAATCAAGTCTTCACTACAAATGCCATGTAAAAAACACAAATCAACACTGATTGTGGATAACATAGAAAGGGCATGGCTCTGGGGAAACACAATGTGCTTTTCAATTTTCCTATGTTCCTACAAAAATCAAATACATAGTGCATCCACCAACGTGAAGAAGGATGCTGAACATCCATTGGCATTCTCCAGACTTTATGTATGCATGAAAATGCACCGCTTGCTCTTTTACTGTTTCTTTCTGCAGAATAAACATAGCATAGAGAAGAATTCCTTATACTACACTGTTGTCCTGTGAAGCTATGAAGAATGTTCTCTTATGTCTCCTTTAAAATAAAATTTTTAAAAAATTAGAATCTTAAGTTAGTCTTCTGCAGAACTGCTACCCTCTAGGGAACTCCAGCACAGCAGAAAAAAAAAGTAATCCTGAATAAATCAGGAGAAAAATACTGTTAATTATTTCACTGCTGCTAGTCTCATGTGCATTTCTGTGGCACTCCTGTGTTAGACATTGAAAGTATTAGTATATGTGCCTGCAATCTCAAGAATCCTTTACATTTCAGCAATGAAGTTTACAACAATAGGATGTGAGGAAATGGAACAAAGTTGCACTGGGAAAGTTCAGATCGGTCATTAGGATGGGTGGTTGGATATTGGAACAGGCTCCCCAGGCAAGTGATCAGGGCACAAATCCTGTCAAGAGTTCAAGGAGTGTCTGGATGATGCTTTTACTCATACAGTTTAGTTTTAGGTAGTCCTGTGAGGAGCAGGGATTTGGACTCAATGATCCTTTAAAATGAGATATACTGTGACTCTATGATTTCCTTCAATAGATAACTTTGTAGTAGCTTTTCTAAAAAAAGGAAGTCCATATTTAGCACACAGCTGCTTCATTACAATTAATTAAGACACTTTTTAGCAGTCTGTGAGATAAATGTCTATACAACTATAACACATTTGTACATTTACAATAAGACTTGTTAGATCTTGATGTTAAAAATGAGAGTATTTTTCTTTTTCCTAAGTTGTGTGATATTATTTCTACAGCACCAAATCCTGGGACCTTGGGATTAGGACAAAAATTTTTGAATTTGAACACACTTATAAACAAATTTGTCAGACCTCATGGCTGAAACAGTAATCTGTAAACATAATTCAAGTATACCCTGAAGGTTTAGAGATTGAACTAATATTTTATTTTGGGAGTGTTGAATCATGATTTTTCAATACTTTGAGCTGGCAGCTGCAAGACACTTGCAAGCTGGAATTCCAATTTAACGAGTAGCCTATAGAAGCATTCAGAATATCATTAGAAATTTTTCAAACTTGAGTCAATCCATATCAGAAAGTTTACAGAGACAAAAAAACCCCTGGAAAATATCGCTGAGGCAACAGGAAGTATAAATTCTTAAAACCTCTTAATATTTCTATTAGGGGGGAAGGGAGTGGGGTGGTTGTATGTTTGTTTGGTTTAGAAAACTAACTGCAGTCTCTCAGACTTTAAAATGGTGACTACTGCAAAGACAAGAATAGACCTACTTGATGAAAGTAGTTAATGGTTTTTTGCACTAAAGAATATTTGAGAAGATAAATAACAGGCTATCAGGTGAAAAATATGAGAAATGCTAGGCTTATGTTGTGGACTATATTGATATGTTTCATATATTTTCTCTCCTCAAAATTTTCCCACAGAAAAGATATACCATCTCCAGGACAAAGCATTTGCCTAGTTTCACAGACCATTACATTTTTTTCATCCCCTGCACTTTTGTGCTAGTAACCACTTATACTGCTTTTTGTGCTGTACTCATGTATTTTACTAAATATATCAGCTTCATCCCTTCAACCCTGTAATGGTAGACTATTAAAATAAAATATACTTCTATGCAGTGAACCTTTTGTTCAGATGTGGTTTTATATGTGGAAAAATGTGAGGAAATTGCTGCCATACTTCTACTACTCTTTCATCTGAATGAAGAAAACAGATATGGCCGAAAAAACCTGCTTAGATTAGCTAATGTGTCCCACATACATTTCTTCCAGTCCATGCATCCATGCATTATAATAAACCACATATTGCACTAAGTTTAAAGTGAAATTGCAATCACATAAACAGGACAATGATACATTTGGTTTTAGCACATCATAATTAACTTTTTCTTTTTAAATTGACTAGACTGACCTGTTAGAAGAGAAACTGTAATAATCACTTTCCTCTAGAACCTCTTTAATTAGAGTCTACAACAAAAAAGAACTTAATTTCAGTAAATTATCTTCATTAACAGTAATAAATGAATACATATAGGTATACATACAGCTTACCTGCAACTGCTCATATGTCACCCCTTCTGCCATGTCAGAAGTGCCAACCATGCCTTAAAGAAAAAGGCAAGTAATGTTATACCACTGAATTTGGAATTTATGATCCCTTATAAGTTTCTTAGCAATTCCACTACAAATATAATGATAAGAGAGATGCTTCATTATCAGTAACTTCCACTGACCACAATGAACCCCTGAAAAGGTGAGGTCATCTAATGTGAACATTTGCATGATGCGAACATTTGATGCGCTTATTATGAAAGTGGTCAAACTGACGGAAAATAAAGACTTTATCAAACAGAACATGGAAATATAACTTTCTTATTTTTTCCCACTTACAATTTACAGTGGGAAGGGCACGGAGTCAGCAGCAATTTGTGAGGACAAAAGTATTGTCTGCAGGTTAAGAGATTCAAAAATTACTGATAATGAGCATCTCAAAAACTGCATTGTCTCCGGGAACAAAATAATGCTTATATTTAAAGTGATTGTTAGGGACTCATTTCCTACTCAAATATCACCCTTGACATCTAGTATTAATTTTGGTTTTTGCAATAAGCTTTGTAACTGATGTAACTACAATGTTTCAACACAAAGCCCATAAAAACCAAAGCTTCTCACGTTTCTTTCTGGCATCACAGATTTTTAATGTTACTGTATCCTCTAGATCATGGATTTCAACACAGCTTTTCCTGTATTTAGAAGAATGTAAATGGCACAGTTACCAAAATACAGGCTGCACTTTTCCCTTATGTCCATTGCACAAAGAAGCACATAATAAAACAAGTCTCTGAACCAGGAATTGTGGTTCCCCACCCTGGATGATGCCACAGCTGTAGGTTTGATTAAACATGGTGTTTATTATTTGTCATGCTGAGTATCACTTGTCCAAAGTATATTTGACATATATATTGTTATATTTTCTGAAGTGTATATATATATATATACACACACATACACATATTTTCCTCCTTATGTTTGTATGGCTTGATCTAGCTACTTAATTAAACCAACCCATTGTAACTGTTCCAAACATGACAAAAGAACAACATAGGATTTGAACAGAGTTTGTTTAAAAATCATGTGCAAGGACAGGTAAATCTTAAGTATGACATTTTTGGTTACAAACATTTCTACTAATTTTCATGGATGAACCATAAAGTACTTGCATCTTTTATATTTCTTTGTAATTCCAAAGTAAACTCTCTTAAATTAGTAGAAATTTCCAGCAGTGGTGAACTGCACATCTCACCAGGAATTAAACGAAACAAAACAAAAAAAACCCTGATAATGAAAATCAGTTGCCTTTGAAGACAGATCTCGGAGCAGCAATTCCTTCTGCTTTGACACCATACATTTTATTAGAAACCTATATGCCACTACAGAAGTTTTGATGCTTTGTTTACTTTTTCTATCATCTGGAAGCAACATATTTCCACCTGAAGAAAGAAGTACCACATGCTAATCTGCTGTGAAGATGTTGGGCTCAATCAATTCAGGAGAACCTTCCAGCAACTGGGGGGAGGGGGAGGTGAAAAAGAAAAGAAAGAAAACTGAAATCTCCATCCTTCCCACTTGCCAAAACTTCAGACTTCTGAGGCAGTTTACCCTTTCCTATGTTTCTCAGTGCAATCAAAAGTCAAGAGATTTCAACTCTTTTTAGATTAATCAAAAAGTGGTGAACACAATTGTGAACATTCTAGCTTTTTCTCTCCAGAAACACTGACTGAACATCACAAGCTGCCAATCTGCACTTAGTATAAAGCACTGAGTTCTTCAAACTATCTGAACAAAATGTCATAAATGATACATTTGTGTGAAGATTAACAGGGAAGTGTATTTTCTTGAACCAAGGAGAGAAGCAGCTGATAACTCGTTTTCAAAACTGGGGCTTCAAGTGAAATTGTAAGCCTATATTCAAGCAGTATAATTCCCATTGGAGGGATGCCCGAACTTCTGAAACCTGAAAGTCAGTTGAATTACTTGATTATATGAACAAGGATATTGATATTAAACTTAAAAACATCTAGTTTTGAAAACATCCACTGGCAACATCTCTGACAGGAAAGTACCTTTGTGTGCAGGAAAGAAATTCCAGTTATGACTTCTGCAGCATGATAACACTTTTACAGTTACAGAAACAGAAGAATATCTCTTGCTGGAAGACCTCTACCCCATCACTGATGAGTGGATGAATCTTTTTGTGTGTTATTCTAATTAGGTTTTCTAATTTGTCATAGTAAAAATAGCTTTATTTTTAAATTTTATTTGCAGAAATTGCACAACCTCTTAACACTTGCTGGAAAAGTTCAACCTAATTCTTTTCTCTATTTAGGTTCCTCCCACTACTTCCAAATGATATCCATGTTACCCAGTGCATTTATGGCGGTAATTTTGGTAAATCACGTAACATTTACTTACTGATGCTTATCAATTCTCCAACTTTCTAACAGCACTTCCTGTTGTTGCTTTTAATAGTTTCTATAACTATTTCCTTCAAGTTGGAAATGCCCAGAATTGCACACAACATTTGAAACATTTTAAATTTGCTACCATTTACATTTTAAATAGAGTATTTCTTCCCTTTTCTTGAGGTTTAAATCCAATAGTTCAAAAGCTAACACCATTTCACATTTGTTGATAACATTTATGAATAGTTTCATTTATTTCTAGACACTTGAAAATTAGGTTAATTTTATAATAAACATATCCTTTTTCTTACCCTATTTTTGGGCATCCTTTTCTGAAAACATCAACTCAATACACAATGAGCAGATATTTCTTAGATTTAATGTTATGGGTGAAATACAAGAATTGTTTAATATATAAGTCCCAGCCTGATTTACAGTTTTCAGATTGGCGTGAAACCAATAGCTCAGAAACATCTTTAATTATCTTTCTAATGTACTACCAATGTAAACCAAAGTAAACACTAAGTAACCACCTTCCATGAAGCTTAAGCATCTGAGGTTAATTATTACAAAAGCATAGGAAGGATCCAGCATTTGGGGTCAGTCTATTTTGTAGCAAACAATGATGCAGAAGGTTCCACAATTCAGCATAAGTAGGTAACAATCAAATTAGGTCACACAGGAGAATTATGTGAATGATAATAAATCACCTTAGTCATCAAATTTTAGGTACAATAAAATACCTAATAACTGCTTTGTCACTAATTCAGTCTTAGCTTCAGTCTCCCCCAGTGCACAGATGACAAGGAAGTAATTTTCAGATCCTTTGCCGATTACAGTGTTCTCAGGAGATTTTGAAGGAACATGTAGAAATTCTGATATTATTGTTAGCTCTTTCTCTGTTGGAGAGTATCCAGCCTGTCATTGGAAAATATGTAGGCACGGTTCTTTAGTCAGGCCATTCTTGCAAATCTGCAGTGGTTTTAAAATGAGACACTAAACTGTTGCTGACACACTATGCAACCATGGGACAAAGTATGTTATACTCAAGGCTCTCTGGGACATTGCTTTCTTAAAATTAATGGTTTGAGTAGAAATACATTCCAAAACATGAAAAATACTGAGAAACTATTAAGAAATTAAGAAGAGCTTACATAAATTAAGAGCTTACATAAACTCCAGTTGCATTTCCCTTCCTCTTGTCTTTACGAGCTCTGATGAGACGAAGTCTGATTTTGTGTGCTGGAAGCTTGCGGGTCCTTTCCATTTACAAAAAACATTCTAATGATGAGACAAAAACTTGAAACCAACCTACAGAAACTACTTACTTAATGAACCTCCATATTTGCCAAATAAAAGATATCTAGAGAATATTCTAAATGTTTCCTTTTAAAAATTGACGCTTACACTTATAGTTTTGTGATACTAATATCGATAGCATAATTCAAATAGAAAAAGGGACAAATTCAATGTAATAAATGCTGTACTACACCTTTTTCTTTTCTGATTTCAGATTACAAGGATTGCTCTGCTGACTGAAGAGGGACTTCTTGAACCTCTCAATGATTCTCCTTTTCAAGTTGCATTGCAAAGCTGGAGGAAGCTATATGAAACAAAGAAACAGATGTTTCCACCACTCAGTTACACCTTCCATAAAGGTGACCCATGCAGCAGTACCATTATTGAAAAAAGTATCTACACTTCAAAAAGAAACACTGATATCTAACAGCATGGTGATAACAGCACAAGACTTGATTTAAAAGCATATTATAATAAGGCTCCTTGGTTTGCCCACTCTGTTGGCTTATCATATAACTCAGTTCCTCTAGCGTTGAAGGTAAACACCATAACAACAAGCCTAACATAGGTACAACTAGATTTGCCTCCCTGATCAAAGTGCTAGTATTTGGGACATTTAGGACTCGAGTACAAGTCCTGTGAGGAGAGGCTGAGGGAGCTGGGGCTGTTCAGCCTGGAGAAGAGGAGGCTCAGAGGAGACCTCATCACTCTCTACAACTCCCTGAAAGGAGGTTGTAGCCAGGTGGAGGTTGGTCTCTTTTCCCAGGCAACTATCAGCAAGACAAGAGGGCATGGTCTTAAGCTGTGCCAGGGGAGGTTTAGGTTAGATACTAGGAAGAATTTCTTTACAGAGAGGGCAATCAGACATTGGAATGGGCTGCCCAGGGAAGTGGTGGATTCTCCATCCCAAGAGGTTTTTAAGATAAGACAGGATGTGGTACTTAGTGCCATGGTCTAGTAACCACAGTGGTAGTAGATCAAGAGTTGGACTTGATGATCTCAGAGTTCCCTTCCAACCCAGCTGATTCTATGATTCTATGACATTTTTCTATAGATAAAGCCCATCAACCATTAGACTATGGTTGTATGGCTGTAATGAGTCGATTCAGTTGAAATTAATGGAATTTCAAGAAGCTTAGACCTTCATTCAATGTGCATAGAATTGCTTCAACAGGCTCTTTTAAGGTCATTATGGGTGTTAATACAATTCAGAATGTGTCTTTTGCTAGAAGCTACCTGTGGGAAGTAATCTATATTTCACTTGTCTATAAAGCATAACTTATTTTGTATACTTTTTCCTCCTGTATTTTTTTGGTTGAAAAAGAATACATATTTCATCTACATTTACATTTTTTTAAAAAGTACAAATCATACTTTATAGTGCTTAAAGTCTTTAATATAGAGTTCAAAGGATGTCTCTTCCTTTTAAATATTTTTTATGCTGCAGCAGTAAATGTAAAGTTTCCACTATTGGGCACTGCAATGACACCAACTCAGTCTGACAACAATTGGATGATATGTTACTACCTTTTTGAAACCATGGTCTATGCTCTTTCTGTATAGTTGCTTATACCTGGAGGCACCGTTTGAAAAAATATGATTTTCTACCATTTAGTATACACTTTATACTCACTTTATTGATATAAATTCATAAAGTGCCACTCCACTGCATTCAGAAGCTCTTTGACTACTTAAGGAGGGTTTGACCACTAACAATTCACATTCAAACACTGACACAGTACACATTATAAAGACATTTATCCCACTGGAACAAATTACTGGTTTTAGACAGCTATAAATCCAGAACAGTTTTATTGGGCCCACAGGAGTCCTGATTTGCTCTGACAAAACAGAGATCAAAGTCACATTCTATGCACAAAAGACTTCACCAGACAGCTGGTTGTATACAGGTTTTTGGTTACAGACATACTACTCTCTTTTCATGCAGATAAGGCCTTACATATATGCTTTAAGTCAGGTGTTGAATGTTCCTTAGCCCATAAGCCATAAAAAAAATTATGCCTTAGGAAAGGCTTGCAAGATGCTCTATAGATTACATACCAGTGCAACCAACTGTGTGCAGTTAATGTACTGTGGACATACTGGGATATACTGAAGCAGAAGCGGTAAAGAACAAGTCCACTGCTTCAGAAACTTGGAGTTGCCTTAGGCACTAGTGTTCAATTTTAGCTTTTGTTTTAAGGAAATCAGCTGTCAGATCAGTTAAAAAAAAAAAAAAAAAGGCCAAGGATTTACATAATGCTTTTTTAAAAGCTTTTTTTTACATTGTTTTCCAGAGATCACTCTGATTCTTGTTCCCATGGAAACTGGGTTGAGAAGGCTGCTAGCAGCCAAGAACTAACAGGCAAGAACTCTCCCTTGCAAACTTCAGTTTAGAATTGTCAGCTGAAATATGTAAAAGAGTTTGATAAACCAGCTATATATTATAAAAAATATTTGACCTTAGACTGGTAAGAACATAAACAAGTACAAGAGAAGCATATAGTACAGCGTAAACAAGCACAGGTATGGATCCCGGTTTCTCCGCTTTCCCATTCTGAAACCAAATGACACCAAAACCATCAAAGTTCTTGCTGCTGCTTCACTGGTCAATTCTGAATCAGTTTGTGAGCTGCTGTTAGTTCTCAGTTATTGGGCATCCACGTTGTGATGTCTTCTATTAATTAGTAGGCCACTTGATAAAACCTTCAACAGAGAGGACAGGTTCACTAACGAGCACCTTGGACATACTCCTAATATACCATGTAAAGACTGAACTGCCTTGTTACTGCTAGTGGGAGAGGGAGATAATTTCCAGTTATTTTAAATTATGAGTATTTCTTTGTCTCTGATAATTTCTGTGTTACCTGTTTTGACAAGCTTGACAGTTAAAAAGAATAAAAAAAAAAAGAAAGGAGACATGCAAAGCACACTCAAGTTCAGTTATGCTATTCTGTTTTAAACAAAACTGAACAAATTTGGCTCATCAATCTGAAAATCCCTGAGGTGATAAACATCACATGCCAAAGATAAACACTTCATTTTGGAAAACAAAAAGATATTTATTTAAGAATAGCAAGTAGCTGCATGGCAGCCATCTTTCCAGAGAATAAAAAGTTTTCCATCACATTTTTAGTGGAGAGTTCAATGTAGATTTGTATCAGCTCCATTTTTGGTTTGGAATCAGCATGAAATAACTTCAGCTCTCCTTCATTACGAAGCATTTCAACTTAATTTTAAAATAAGTCTTAAGTTTGAAAAAGATCTGACATTTAAAAACATTTCAAAACATTTAACATATTCAGGATTTGAACTATCGCACTAAAATCCCATTAAAGTATTACTACATATTGATAATAAAAAAATTTAACTTTGAAGTTATTTAGGAAATATTGCTATAGAGGAAAGCATTTTATATACTCTCCAAGTCAGTATATGATATTGTCACCTTAAATAATCGTATTGCTAGTATGACGGAATGTTGTAAAAATAATTTACTGTACAACCCATTTTTCTGAGGTGAGCCACTGATTTTTTTTCACATGACTCAATTATTGCCATCCTCCACATACTAATATTCAGGGTTAGTCTTTATTTAAATGATATATTTTTAAAGCATCCTGCCATCTGCAAAAATGTCAAGTTCTGTTGTTTTTAAAGAACAGTGACTAAATTAGCAGCACTTTGCAGTACCATCATTTTGACAACAGCAAATAACTAAAAAGCATAGAATGTCAGAAGCAACAGTAATGCACACTTGAGTGATGAAGATAATTTTGTGGAGCTGAATAAGAATCTGCTGAATGGGGTCACTGATCTGACGCACCTTCCTTTGTGATACAGCAATTCCTGCTGATGCTGTAGATGACAAGAGTAAAATCAGGAGGGCAGCTCATTTTACTGCCTTAGTACAGTAATAGCATACATTGTTTAAAATCTGTAGATATAAATGCTAATGTTGCTGAATTTCTGTGCTGGCTACTTTAACAAGAAGTAGAAGACAGACATTCACAAACTGAAGTGTCTAGGGACCATCCAGTTCTGAGCCGTGCTATCACAGAAATAGAGAGTTACAGAAAATGTCCTTTTCTGTCACAGAGGGATACATTTCCAGTAGGATCAGGAAGATGATGATGTCATTGCTGTTACTGGGGGGGTTTTGTGGCCTTTTGGCAGTTGTGTTGACAGAGTCAAGTGAAATTCAGTTTGACACTTTTTCCCTAAGTCTTGTCTTAATGATGAGTAAGAGGAAAAGTCTTGCATTTCCCCTGAGTCACTTAGAGAAGAATTTAGATTGTTTTTTCTGGTCAAGGTGACAGTGGAAGCCATGCTGTAATAATCTAAAATACATACCACTGGAAGAGCAATTTGCATTTTCACCTCTCTACCAACTGTTTCAACACTGTTCTATTCAATCCCCAGTCTTGCTGTTATGACCTGTGAATCTTCAGCTTTTATTATGACAGTCAGAAAACCTTTATTTTCTTGGCATGTTATCTTTTTTGCTATTCCCTGTACTGTGGTATTTGTCTTCTCTTTTCCTGTCAATGGCTTGTATAACAAATCAAAAGAAAACAAATCAGTGCCCTTTCTTTTGTGTGTCTTCAGAATTTTTTTCTGGATAAAAATATGTTTAGAATGATAACAGCAAACAAAAATGATTGAGTAGGATATAATATGCATTTCCCTGTTATTCAGTGTACAGGGCTTTCTCTCTTTTCTAGTATGACAGCAACAATATGACCTAAAAATCTAGGAGGACCAGATGTAATGTCTACTTGTAGGGTACAGGTGCTTCAAAGACAGCTGAAGACCCAATGTTAAGCTAGGAACTTCAGGAGTACCCTCGAAGTCCATACACTCCAGACTGCTTCAAGTTTCTTGTTTGTTGGGTTGTTTTTAAATACAGAAGTATAGCATTATTTGGAGGGTGAGGGCACACATGTGTGAATAGGCTGCTGAAGACTTGATCAAAGCTTTTAAGACTTTTATGCAAAAGGGAAACATTACTGAAAAAAGATATTGGATCTACTCAAATTACCCACAGAACTGAAAATATCAACAAAGGCTAAAGCATTTGTCTGTAAATCATGATACCTCTGATACATTACGGCTGGGTAGTGGGCTTTAACTGTGTTGTTATTATAATGGCACTCTTTAGTAAACAGCACTGAAACTGCAGAAGGCTGACATCAAATTTTGATTTGTACTGCATAATGAAAAATTTTAATAGAATTTTTATATGAAAAATGTAAAATAGAACTTAATATAGACAAAAAGCACTTTTTTATGATCAATATCTCAACTGCTCAAAATAATTTTCTTTCAAGTATTATTTAATTCAGACAATATGCACTCTGAAATCACAGCTTAGCAGCTCACAGTATGTGAAGCTTCTCAGTAAGAAAGAAAAGTACCTCAAATAGAAAACTTGTTTCCTCAATCACAATGTATAAATACACGATAGTTTACAAGGGCTCTATGAAAACTCATTTATCAGGGGAAATTCTAATTGCATTCAGCAGAAGTTTAGCCAGGATAATGACCATTAAAATGAGATCTTACTGATTTACTATTGTAATTCATATTTTTAAGAAGTACCTTAATGATATTTCAGACAACATACTTGTATGTGAAATGTAATTGTCTCATTTTCTAATATTTTAAAATACAATTATTAGATAAAACCATAACATTTCATATTGTAAAGATCTGCAACTGGTGGACTATGACAAAACACTCTATATGCAACAGGAGAATAATGTAATAATGTTTAAAAACTTGAAAATTGTTAGGTTTAATTTAAGTTAAAGTTTTAATTTCTTGCAAGCACGAAATTACCTGGTCACAGTCTTGATCCAGGACTGTCAACATAATCTCTATCATTATTTGGAAAAAAAAAAAAAAGTTTTAATTATGTTTGGCATCAATGACTGTAAATAAAATAACAGTATTTCCTGACTACGTCTCATGTTTCCTCTAAAGGAAATCTGTCCAAATCCCCTAGTTTTTAACTGTGCATTTTTAAATTACATAAAGGCTGGCTTACTCTGCATGTCCAGCATAACTTCTACTAAACAAATTTTCTTTCCCTGCTCAGTTTTCAGCCTGGAACACACAAAGTCTGTAGAGAGGATTTTAATACTGAAAACTCAATAATCCACTAGATTATGCACTTGTACGTGTTTAAGGACCTTTTGGTTAACCCTTCTTATGGATGGAAAACATAAAGAATGATTATCTTTAGAGGAGAAAAACACGAGTAATAATGCATATGTTACTGGTAAAATGGGGGGGAAAATAATATTACATCACCAGGATAGCAGTATCTCAATGTCAGAAATACAGGTCCACATGTTTCCATGTTAGATCCTGCTCTGTACTCTACACAAACTCTTTCTCAGCTGGCAAATTTCACTAGCTGAAATAAGTAATAAAAACCAAATATGAACAGAGAGGAAACTCAATGAACCAATATGATGCCCTGATGGGTGGCAGCTGTGATAGTCTTAGTATGGCAAGAATTTGTATATATTTTTGTGGCAGTAGGGAAAACTACAGTTTCAAGGAGTAGTTATGAAGACAGACAAGGAGATAGCTTTTCTAATGATTATGTGAGGGACAGAGATTTGTGGACTAGTGAATTTGTACAGAGAGAAAAAGACGTGTTGACTTCAACACAAGCATGACGAGGCTGCCACTGAGTGCAACAGGACTAAAGCTGTGAAGTGATAAGTGACAGACTGGATGGTGACATGCTAAGAACCACTCTCAAAGCAAAAATAAAATATTGCCTTTGGTTAAAATGGTGTCTGTGGAGAAACACAAGAGGAATCGATGCCATCATTATAAATACTTACATAGCTAAGTTAAAGGTGAAAAGAAAAAAAATTGTTCAGGAGGCAGATGCAGCCAAGAGTCATTTTGAGGGTTTTTTTCAGATATGAAAGAAAAGCAGAAATAAAGAAACAAAGAACAGAGTCTGTGAGTAAGAGTGGTGCCAAGGAGATCAGAAAAAATAATGGTTAGTCAGGAATGTGTTTGATGCAGTACTAAATAAACAACAGAAGAATAAGGAAGACCTTTAGAAGAGGAAGAGGGATGATATGACACATTCTGCTTCTTTTGTTTCCTTTTCTGAAGTAAATGGGCCTCCACAATACAAAAAATGGGTTTCTATGTCTAGAGAAGTTCAAAGGGACAAGATCTTACTCTACACTACTATAATATACTCCACACTATCCAATACACAAACACATTTTTGTATGGAAAAACATCTGCTTAAAAACACAAAACCAGAATTTGGCTGACCAAATAACTTGGTTTAGCTGATGTAGCAAAGTCCATTTTTAAAACTATTTATCATGTAAAGCTTTTGAGTGCAAGCACCCTCTTACAACATCTTCAAGCAGACTGAGTGTCGTAGGCTGATACAATACGACTCTGTAATGGTAAGTAAGGAAATGTTTCATGAAGGGAATTGCAGAATTGCTTCACTGTGAATCAAACAACTGGAACTGATCATAACAGTGATCAATTATATAATTTATATTAAAAATATAAATCACACCTACCTTATCTGAGGTTGTCTTCCAGAAGTACTAAAACTTTGTTTAATTATACCTGGAACAAGGACATAAATATTATCTTCTGCTTAAAAAGACCCCAAAACATGCATGTTAATATTTTCTATTTCCCAGACATGGTGTCAAAATAAATTTTAAAAAACAGTGTTAAGCAAACTCCAAACCTCATTTGATTATCGAGTTACTGTTTGATGCACTGAAGATTTTCCTACATCATAAACTAAAATCTCAGCCCCACACAGTATTTTAAGAAACACTTTCAGAATTTCACAGATACTAACAATACATTTTGACTAGATGTCCACAGAAGATTTGCATTCAATTATTACAGTTACTGCTAGCGCTGTAACCACAACATTGTTGCTAGTCTGGATAGAGTCCACTTTTTCAGGAGACCTTTGAGGGGTTGTCTAAACCTTGTTCCACCAGGGTTTTATTTCACCGTTCTATTAGCTAACTATTCATATGCAGTAACATCTACAATACCTCACTTCTTATATAATCCTACTGAATTTAAGACTTTGAAGACCAGTTATTGGTCCAACATCTAATGTAAACATTAACATAATTAGTGCATAGTGCCAAAAATGTCTAAAAGGAAGGGTAATATTATTTCTACACTTGGAAAGCATTGCTTTAAATCTTAGTCTTAAGCATTTGCCTTAAAACACTCCTGTAAAACCACTCTTTTCATGGTAATTTGGACGTATGAGACCACTCTGTCCTACAAATAGTATCTCATTTTGAATGAGGAATAAGTGCATGTTCAATGAAAAGATAATTCTGCTAACTGAGAGTCTGAATAGTAAGATTAGAATATTCTAGAACAATTTTCCCATACAATTCATGGATATTAATAAAATTCCCTTCATCTTTGTCTACATGAGATTTTTTTCCACACTTACTAACATTGCAAGCATTACCATTAAACAAGAACTAATCACTCAAATAGAAGATAAGAAAAAAAAAGATTTTATGTCACATTTATACTAGTTTTCCCATTGTTGGTCTTGTTACAGTAGTTATATTAGTTCTAGAGCAACAGTAGAGCAAACGCATTTCTGAGAGTCTGAAATCTTTTTGTGTTCAAACATACTTTGTGTTGTACTGTGAAATATAGTGCCTCTATTTTTCTTACTTTTCTGATATCCTCTGAATTTAAAAAAAAAATCCTGAAGGAGGCTTGCATCTGTCACACTGGAATCACTTTAAAACCAAAAGAAATTATATATTTTTAGGCCAAATCTGTTTTCCCTAAAAAGGAGGAACACAGACAGACAGAGAATGAAAGAAAAAGAAACCATTTTACTCCTTGTTAATGATTTGCTTAGGAAAACAGATATTAAAATTCTGTAGTAGCTAGCATAAAAGACTATTGAGTAAGAAAAGCTGACCTATGTAATAGCAAATAAACTAGGCCCTCATAGAAGCAAAAGTACTTCAATTAACCTTTTTACTGAGACAGAAAAATAGACAAAGACAGTGTCTAACTGTCTAGAAAATAAAGAATGACATGCAAAATATGATTGTGCCTATTCAAGGAACAGATATTTTACCCGCTTAGGATGCAGACACAGTAATACAAATACAAAAGTAGAAGCACTGACTGAACCTGAATCACGCTGCTTGGGGTAAGGATTTTGAGTTCCAACTTCAGACACAATAAACACCACAATATATTACGTGAATATATTCATGAAAATTAGTAACAGAAGCCACTTGGCTAGAAAGCTAAGTTTGAATTCTAGCTCTTTGCTAGAATTTTATAAAAAACACACACACCCTTTTCCAAGTATTCATACATATAATTGGGTTTGAAATACTATACCCTTTGGCTGTTTCAAATAAATGGTCTTTCAATGAGTAAAGGGTTCATATCCAAATTTGCTTGATCAGTTTGATGACTCACCACATTTGACTTGCTAATCTGCCAGTTTATGAGTGTATTTACAAGTGCATGATATTTTACACCAGAATCTGTCTCACCACTCACTGCACATGGTAGAGACATAGTATTTTCTGATTCATATGCTAAAGTTAGGAAAATACTAATGTTAAAAAAACAGAACCAAAAAAACCACAGAAATCATGATGCAGAACAACACTAAACAATAGCAAACATCCTTCAGCCCTATTTTTATTGCTTATTATTATGTTAGAGACCCACTGAGCAGCTACATCAGAGAGAAAAATCTCATTATGTGTTAGTCACTATGAAAACACAGCCAAATAATCTATTCAATAACTAATCACAAGGAGATTCAAACATGTAAAAATCACTGTAACAAACATTCATGTGTATACACACACACATAACACTAAAGACTTTATTTATAATACTTAGCCTTCTGTGTATGAGTTATGCTAATCATACAAAGCCAGACGAGGAGTAAGAAAAAAGATTAAGATGCAGACAAGTTAACTAACAAGTCACGGAGCACATTGTGCATCTTGATGTTCAGCCCAGGGTTACCCGGACTGTATTTCCTTTTACCATGGTTACTCCTTTGACAGGGATAGGAAGAGCAAGGCAATGTGTTTTGTTCAAAAGCCTTGCAAGAGGATATTTCTCAGTTTGAGAGGATCTCAAGGAAAAATGAAATACACATCCTTCATCTCTCTCCTATTTTGTGCCCACTCTTGTTAGAATGTGAAAGACATGCAAAAGCCAAAGCTTTTAATTCTCATCAGCCTCTCTATTCTGAATAGCTCTATGAAGATTCCTTGAGGACATTTTAAAAAAAAAATTAAATGAGGCATAAAGAACTTCTCTGACTGCTACTCTGGTCTTTAATAGCGGATGTAATTAAAGCAACTTCTAAGGCTTTAACTTCTTAACATGCATTGAAATAAGTGCAAATCATATAAATACCTTTTAATAGGCAGTTTAGTGTTTTGCTCTTGCAGGCACCTAACCATGTAATTTCAAGAGAAGAGTTTATAACACAATATGAGATCAGAAAAACCTGAGGAGATAATAACTTTTGTTTTGGCTTTAACTTTCACTTCAATGTTATCTAAAAAATCTCTGAAAACCCTCTCAAGTTTGATCAGATCGGTAGGAACACTGAATCAAGATTTCACATCAGCAGAAAACTTCAGTGTATCTCTTTGAACAAAATGGAAGCAAAGGATGTGGTTTTTTGAATGACGGCTTAATGATCTTTTCAGGAGAAAGGTCAAATTACCTTTATTTATTCAAAATACTCTTAGTAAGCTGTCCTTTAAACCACTGTGCACTGGAATGGCCAATCCCAAGCATATTAATTAAGCCCTTTTGCAGAGTAAACAACTAAGTTCTTTTCTCACTAGTAGGGACTCCATGTACAGCAACAGAAGTTGACATAAACATACTTTGAACTTAACTCCAGCATCATACAGGAAAACTGGGTCTCAGCAGATCTTGTTCTAGCTGATATTTTCTACAAAGACCCATTAGCCCAAGGTCTCAAGAGAAATCTGAATCTTAGATAAATTGGGAAGAGTAAGTCTACAAAACACTAAGATCTCCAAATTTCTTCACAGACAGCCCATTGTGCAAATGATTGTTTTCTTGATGCAATAATAATTTTCAAGGAATTTCCTAAGCTTTCCCTTCACAATCTAAAGAATCATATATAGCAGATGTCAGACAATCTTATCCTAAAAACTTACAAGACTATCTAATCACGTTATTGAAAGAAGAAATATGCTCTCAAAACATCAAACTCATCAAATGCAACTGGTCTAAGCCAAAAAAAAAAAGAAAGCTCAGCTCTATGATCACAGAACTTGTAAGATATAATGTAGTTGACTGCAGATTACTGACTCCAGACAGCAAGCAACATTACTGAATGGGGGTTTCATTTCACACAGTGTTCCTTGTTATCCTCAAAAGTAGTTAAATGTGGAGCTAAGCGATGACCTAAACTCAGAGCCCAGTCATTTGCTACATACAACATACAGAGTTCCTATTTTGAGAGCATCCTAGTTCTAGAATCCCCAATTATTCAACTGGATATGAACATCACCTGCACAAAACTGTGCACTGTGTAAACACGTTATATTTCTAAAAGCTCAAAGAAAGATATAGGAGACCCCTCTACAGTTACATCACTAGAAAATTCTTCAGGCAGATCTGTGGTGTCTTCATTACATGGTAATTCTGAATACTATTGGTTTGCAGAAATTCAGGAAAGGAATCCTGAATATCAGTGTCTTTGCTTATTGGTCACAAGTTGGATCAAAGGTTACCCCAAACACTGAAAACATAAATTAAATTATGAGGTAACAAAAAAACTTCTAAGAAAGATACAGCAGCACAACAGGACTGTACATTGAGACTTCTTAGCCTTATGAAAAGCTAGTGGCTGAGCAATTCTGAAAGGAATATATTGCATGCTTCATTTTTATTGTGAGGAAGGTCATAGGATTTCTAATAGGATGTTTTACAATGTTTTACACAGTAATGTCTTTCAGTGTATTTAGGATGCTGTCCCAATTGCAGTGTAAGTGAACAAGATTAAGGGAAACAAAAACTATTTTCCAAAAAAAAGCATTCCCAAACATAGAGTAAATTTTTAAACTCTCACTCAACTGACATACTAGCTCTACTGGACTACTATGCATTAAGATATATCATATATTTTCCTGCTACTTGGTTTTACCAGCAGAAATGAAGATACAGTTACACTGTAAACCAAAAGCAAGTAAAAATCCCTTAAACGTGTCTAAGTCAGGGTAAAGTTGGGAACGTTGTAATTTTAAAATAAGAAAAAACAGCAGCAATTAAACTATTATCATCCCATCACTCTTCATTGTTTTTGACTCAGTATGGCCCTACCCTCTGTCAATCTTTCTGTTTTCAAATTAATAGGACTTCAGGTGGGGAAAAAAAAAATGCATCTGTCACTACTGCCTCTATGCTTCTGAAATATATAGAATCTTGCTTCTGTAGGATTAATCATTTCAAGTACCAGGAATAACTCTTCCAGAATCTACATACCTTGCATTTGGCCATCTTGAGAGTAAAGGAGTTGGTCTTGTAGAAATACATTGTCTAGACTAAGAAGAATAATCCTTTTCTTAAAGGATAATTGAAAATCAGAGTATGTAAAATTATTGAAAACAATATAACAATAGCAGACTTTAAAAAAAGCTTACCCCCATTACACTGTCAAATGCATACCAGCTTCAGTGCCAATGAACAACTCAGCATATCACACAAGATACCGCCCTAGTTTTAAATTAGACTGATATTTTTCTACGGTTGCAGATCATGTTTATTCTGAGAATGATGTGACGACAGCATGATTAGACAAATCCTTTCAAGGTCCTCATCAATATACCCATAACTAAAACTCACATCTTCATGTTAGCAGTTTCCAAGTTAGCTAGATGAAAATTGGTCACATTTTCCCCTGCAATGCTGACATGCTTGAAAAAACCATGGCTGATAATGCAAACTCTGTTAGCCATTTATCAGTAATGAATGGAGCATAATCCAAGTAATACCCAATTATCCTGAATTTATAATTATTTTTTTAAAGCTACCTTTTCTTTATCCTTGAAAAGAAGAAACATTTGCCAGCATTAATTACAACCAATATACAACACTGACTTCAACATTAAGTAGACACTAGAGGTGATTTAAGAACATAACACTACAGAGTTATTTTTCTGAAAAAGCAGTCTTGAAGTATCTATATAATAATTAAACTCTATGCTGGGAGAAAAATGAATAATGATTTCTAGAAATGCTAATTAAAGTTACTGCAATTGACAGGAACTGACTGGATCTTTCCGCTTAAAATATTTAATTAAAAATATGGAAACCTGGTACCATAATATTCAAATATTAGAAAAAGTTGATGTTTTGTTAATGTCCAGATCTCAATCAAGCAAAATAGACTACAAGGAAATCATTACCACTAATGCTTTGGGTGTGGCAAGTTACAAACTACAAAGATTTCAAATGTCTGTTTACAACGCTGAACTAGCCCACAATTAATTACATTTCTGTGAGACACACAATGAGTTATTCTTCAGTATAAACACAAAATAGAACGTTTGTCTCCGCAAGCTGCTTTTCCTCAAGGGATTCCTTTTATGCAGGCCCTCTCCCACAGTTAGACTAGGCTTCCCTGTATCCCGTAGCATTCTCCTGCTACTCTCTTAGCACAAGAAAGCAACAAAGTGCTTTTTAAATTTATTATTATTTAAAGAAAACTTTGATAATAATCTCAGGGCTGGCCTGCCACAGGTTCTCCAGCCTTTAGAAAGGCAGGCTATCCAGTTACAATTAGCAAATCATATTAATGGATTTTAAATAGAATTATTAAATCATTTATTTGCCATGAGCTAATGGCTAGACATTTCAATTAAAAGTAGTCATATTTCTTCAGCACCTGGGCCAAAATCTGAAAGAAATCCAGCTAGCAGATAGGATTAAAAACAGATAAAGTAATGTCACTCTATGTTTTATGAAGCCTGGGACCTTGTACCAATAATATTTGTTAATCTTCACACAACTACATTCCCTTTACTAAAAAGTACATTTTAAATCATCCACAAATTTTCTTTCAGAACTAAACAGGATGAATGGAAATCTTAAATTTTGCTCAACTCTAATATCCATCTCTTTTTTCTAGTATAAAATGCTCTTTGATTTTCTCTAATCATAATCTCATCCCATTTAATAGGTACATCATGGTAGCTCACAATTTTGCAAGTGACTCAAAGCAGTTAGAGCTGTTTTTTTGTTTTTTTCTTTTAAATTTTCATATTTGGAACATAATCAGAAAAAACTGTTACTTAAGATAACACCCAACACAGCTGATGCTTTCCTATTTGCTTACCATAAATAACTATAAGCAGAATTAATGCTCTGTTTTATCACATAATCCTGTTTTAATCATTAAGCCTTCCTTCAATTCCATTCAGCCAATTCATCTAGACAGCTAAAGCCTGCTTCTTTCAACTTTATTTTTCACACTCTTCCATCTGTTTCTTATCAATACTAGTCATCTTAGGGCTTCAAATTTAAAACTACCTTCTTTGTCAAGTTGCCTGATAATATTCCAGCTTTCACAGACGTTACTGCAAAATACGGAGACAAGCTACACAAAGACTATGAGATGCAAAATGTATTAAACTGGAAATGGCTGCCACAGAGGCACAGTTATTTTCTTTACTTAGGTAGTTCAGATAGTGCAACAAATAATGAAATACCCTAACATTCTGGAATAAACAACTCCTTTGCTGTTAGAAATTAGTGCACACTTAATTCTTAAAGAATATTACCAATAGCAGACTCTTTCAAATTACTTGAACTGGAGCTGTTTGAGTAGTCCAGTATGTCCAGCTCAGCATCTAATTCAGAGAACATACCTGCACATAAAAATCAAAACAAAGAAGCTTTTAACCCACCTCTGACCAGCATCAGCACCCTGATGCTTCTTTTGCTAATGCCTACCTTTCTCTATAGTCCTGTGATCCTGTACCAGAATTTCTTCATATGTTCCTTCCTCATATTTTCCACATGCAGACTGACAACTATCAACTGGAAGGTCAGTATTTTCTGAAAACTGACTTTTGCAACTGGCTGCTCCATTGCTGCTACTATGAAGACTTAACTTCTCATAATTTTTCTGACAACAAAGAACAAAAAGGAAATGTTATATATTGTCATTTTCCAGAACTTATTACAAATTCTGAAAATGAAAGTGTCACTTGTGCATACATGCATAAAAACACTCTTTTTGTTCCCACTTAGCTTCTAGTCCAAGACTGCACAGTAACTGGTTCAGTCACTGATTCTAAATTTAGAACAAAACTTTCAAACTGAAAAAAACTATTTCTAGTCTTTACATAAAAGACATCTTTGTTCTTGATGACAATCTTTTCACAACAAGCATTGAAAGTGAAAAAAATGAAACAAACACCAGACCAGAAGCAAACACTGAACAAAAACAGAAGACTGGACAAAGACAGTAGGTTCCCAGGTACAAGCATTGGTAGATTTACTCTCTTCCAGCTTAGATAATAAACAGCAGTCCAGTTCTGGACAACACAAAACCTGCATAACAGCCAAGATGGTAGTAAAATATGAAATTAACTTGACATGATGGCATGTCAGAGACCCCAAGGCTGAACTGACCAAACGCAGAGCTAGGAAAATAAAACATCCAATATAAATTATTTGCCTGTAACATTTAACTGCTGCGTCCTGTTTGTAGCACAAGGTTCTTTAATAAGTTTAAAATTCTGCCTCTGCTGCTGTCAGTGTTTATTGTTTTTCTAGAAAGAATAGAAATCCCTGATCCCTGTTATTGCTTCTATTTTAATGCAACGTATTTTGAAGGAAGATGTTTTATTATCTCTTCACATATTAGTTCTGTTGTGTAAATAAATTCATGTTTCTTTTTACCCTATCTTGTCAGAGCAAAGTGTGATAAAGGAGGATAGGAGATAAATTATACAAATATATCAGACTAAACAAATTAGTATCTTTAATATTAATTTCAGGAGATAATACATTCCTAAATACCTATATTTTTACCAAGTCTGCCTAAGACAATTTGTTCTTTATCTAAGTCAACTTCTTTCAAAGTTTTTCCCAAGAAGTATTTTGATCTTATCAGGAAAGAGCAGAGTGGGTGCACTAGAAAACCTTTCTCCTCAGAAACCTAACTGCACCCCTGAGCACTGACTATACACTGTCTCTGTAATAGGTCTGCTTCAATTACTTCCCTATCTTTGGTTCTACTCCCAAATCTATAACTTAACTTGTAAGAGATGGATGGTCAAGCCTTTCTCCTTAAATTCAGGTGGGAAAAGATCATTTTATACTTAAGTACTGGACTGAGCTTATGTCCAAGATGTCACAATAGCAGTGACTGGAGTGTAGCACAGCATGACAACCACTAATGATGACTCTCTAGTTCACTTGAAGAGAGCAGTCTAGTCCTGGAATATGAGCACACATCGTACCCTGAACAGTCAGAGCACAGTTACTGAAAAGAACCAACTTACCTGTTTTATGTTAAAGGAAACAAAGTCAAGACAGAGAAGGGTCAAATTGCATGGACATTTCAAACTTAAATCTCCTTTCAACATTTACAGGACTGAACCTCATACTCAAAAGACTAACTGTTAACAATAACTTCTAAATCAGGTGGAGCTGAAGAAAAAAAAATATCAAAAAGACAGCTATTACCAACTGGTTTCAGATCTAGCAGCCCATCAAGATGGGAAACTTGTTCAAAATGTGTGAATTGAATTCCACAGACCTCATGATAAAAATAATTGTCAGACCTGCTATAGAAACTGCTCAGAGATCAGTGAAACATATTCCAAAGCCTTAAAGCAGCCATATAAACTGTAAAGCTATAATCTGTCTATACATAAAATCTGGCCCATTTACATAACAGCTGAACATAGAAAACTATAGTATTCATTAGTAATCTGAGAGTAATAAATACATTTGCTGTGTATATTTTGCTCCACCTAGAAAATAGCTAATAAGTTTCAAAAATGAGATTATATACTGCTTTTTCTTTTTTTGAGTAGGACAACTGGATGATTTAGAGAGACAAAAGTACCCTGACTAGAGGAGGCTGCGATGCAAGTTCAATGATTTTGGTCACCATTGGAGGGGGAACATAAGGATCTACATATGGACATAATTTTATGAGAAGAGGATGGAGAAACTTCTCCAACACAGTGAAGCAATCATTTTCATATGCCTCAAAGACTCAGACATACTTCTTTCAGATAAGTAGAAAGACAGATACTTATCTTTTGAAGAAATCTATGAAACAGTGGCATACTCAAAACATCACAAACATTCAAAGAGGAGTTTGAGTTTAGGTTGATACATATTCATTTGAACTATGCTCACACCTACACTTGACTCTAGCGTTCCAGTATTTTACAAATCTTTATGGAGATTCCATCAGTTGATTCAGTTTATTTTCATATTTTCCTAATAACCTAGTGTCTCAGTTTCCCCATGCATCAGATTGATTGCCACTTTTGTTGAAACAAACTCTGCCTTCTAGTTCAAACAAACACAGATGAAAACAAAAGCTAAGGGGAAAAAAGTCCCTCTTCAAAAAAATGTTCAAATAATGAACCAATTAATTTTTTTTTCCAGCATTCATCTATCTTTATTACTGAGCAAAAGTATCTCTGGAAACTTGTGTCCTAGCCATGAAGAAAAAATTCTATCTTCATCCATATCCTGTACACTTGGCTCTTCATTGGTCACCATTACTACTGTAAAATCAAGTTATACCTAATTTTTGGACAAGTGAAGCCTAAACTGCTCTTTTTGACTTCCAGTGGAAATCTAAAAAAATCTAAAAAACCCAAGTAGAATAAAGATATCGAGCTGTTGTTTAGCTCTGTTTTGTCATATTACTGTCCAGAAGAATTAACTTTTCTATCTTCAAGAAATATAGAGCTCTCTAGTGGCATTTGCAAACAGTGTTTAATTAATCTTCTTTATTTGAGACATTTACAATTACAGCATTATGCTAATCAATTGAATTTCTATTTCAAGAAAAAAAAACAGAACTATTTCCACTATTAAACTATTTGTAAAAACCTACAAGTTAGCGATAAAATGAATAATAGCTGACATGAAATTGTCAGGGGAAAAAACATGCTAAAACAATGTATTTTTTTCAGTAAGAGGGTAACAGCTCTTGTGCATTAGGAACAAGAAGTAGATGGTTTATATCTAGATGTTTATAAGAGTTTTAGCAAGGCTTTTGACAATGTTTTTCATGACATCTTACAAGAAAGCTAGGGAAGTGTGACCTAGACAAAATCACGATCAGTTGGCTGTATAATTGACCATAAAAATTGTACTCAACTTGGTAAGCGCTTCCAGTGTTTGTTACACTGAAAATGGGTAGCAAGCACAATTTTTCAGGATCCTTCTTGACCTTGTTCCAAAACCACTCAATGGTGTCACTGAATTACAATGATAATCTGAATAATGGATAGATAGAGTGCCTGTTAAAGGTGCCTAGACTGCGATACATTCACATCATATATCATACTGCAGCATATACATCATACACAGAGCTGTGTCAGTGAAACCGACAATAGGTGTCAAAGAAAGTTCTGAGAAGCTGGAGAAACTAAAAGAACTTACGAAGTTTAAATAGAGAGAAACCAAAGTTCTATGAGCAATGGGGAACAACTGTACAAATGCACAGACTGGGGAAAGACTGGTCAGACAGAAGCTGTGCAGGAAAAGAAATGGGGATTTTGATGGATGAGAAACAGAATATGACTCAACAACACCATGCTGTTACGAAAAGGTGAACATCATACTGGGATGTATAAAGAATAATTCCAAAGAATTGTTTATTCTTTCTAGTTGATACCAATAAGATTCTCAGTTGGAGTAATTAGGTACAATTTTGAACACTACACTTAAAATTATGTCAATCTTACTTTTTAAGTCGTGTTTTGTAGACCTCTGATTGTTTTCATTTCTTTCTTTTCCTGTCTCTCCACATTTTTTATTATTCAGTCCGTATTAAAAACAAAAAATCACAGAGAGGGGAACCAACATAAAAGAGAAAAGACATAACTTTTACATATTTCCACGGTCAGGAGGACAATTTCAGTAATCAAGTGTTCAACTATTGCATCTATCTGGGATCCTGAAGAGAGAAATAAGTGTTCATACACAATGTAACTGGTCTGAATGTGCTCAGTAAATGCAGTGTTCTGGGGATATTCTGGACTTAATGCTCTCAGAGTGCTTTTATGGCACTTAAGATTGGGTCTGAAAATGTCAAGTGTCATATACATCTTATTACATGCACATCTAGTATCTCCTGGAAACAAGACATGCATATCATATCTACTCTGTCAAGTATACAAAGTAAGACCAAAACTTTCTGCAAGCATCAGACCAACTTTAGATATTGTGTATAGCACAGTGTATATGTGCTGTGGGTATGCCCAGGATGCTTCAGGCATCCTCATCATTTCCTAGATGTTATCTTCAAATGGAAAGAAAGACTCAATCAGATGTGACTGCTGACTGTAAAGACAGTTTGTGCACCTCTGCTGTTTCTAAACTGTTTCTATCACATGACTTTTTTATGACTGACTGGTCAAATACCTGCCAGGAGTGACAGGTAGCTCTAAAGCTCAGAGAGGGACAAGATAATCTCTGACAACTCTTCCTGCCTTATATCCAGTAATTCTATTAAAGTATTTAGATGTATTAACAAATTGAAGCTGAATTAAGCATATTATGTGTTTGTCCTTAAGGCTCTGATCATATGTTTTCACAGGTAGTAATTTGGCTGTGATGACTATTTTCTACGTTCAGCAACACTTAAAAAAATTATACCTGCAAAACAGTTTTTATATCATGACTCTATTCTCCAAACATACACAGTATAAATCTAAAAAGGTTATTTTCTTTTTATCACGCCAACATTTCTAACATTTAAACTTTAAATCTAGTACCTGCTACATAAATGTCAAAACAGGATGGTGTCAGTGGAGTGAAAGGTAGAAGAAGAAAAGAATTGGTGGAATGTTAAGTCTTCATGACATTCCCGAGTCCTCACTCATTTCCAAAGGGAATTGTATGCAGCAGTGCACAGTCATTATCATCCAGTTTTTAAATACAATTTTAATAAATTTTAATAATAAATTTTAATAAAAATATTTTAATATTCTAATATAACATAAATACAGGACTCTATTTCTGCAATATTAATAACCTGTTGCCTTCTAAGTGTTTTAAAATCAAGCATAGTCATTGCTTCAACTGATACAAAAGCAGTTGCTGCTCACATACGCGACTGTTTTAAGAAAAAAAAAAATCTTTTATGCACCAAAAGGCTGAATTGCACAAAATCTATTTCTAAACACAAAGAAAAAGGAAATTAAAATGAACATTAATCCAATCCTTATGTCTTTTTCTGAGTTAACAAAAAAACTTGATTAATTCAAATTGAATTGCTAATTAAGTACTACTTTGTAATGCATGTGGTGATGCTTAGAAACTAACATGATTATTAGCACAACAATTGCCAACAGAGCAGAACTGAATTTGGGTGTGGGGGGAAATGACTTGGTGAAAAAGCAGCTAAATCATTTTGTGTTTCTTTGTGTTTCAGATAGCTGCAATCCTGTCCTCTTTCTTGTGAGGAAATCGATGGCTGCTGTGAATTACAAGAGTTGCCAGTAGCCTGCAGGGTGGTTACAAAAGTACAGATTCTTAAATCATGATCTCTAACCCTTCCGCCTTTGGTCACAGATCCCTGTGGATGAAGAAAAAGATAAATCCATTCCTGTGGATGAAGAAGACTGGTAACAGTAGCATGGTCTCTATTTACAGGTATTATTACAAAACGCTTCACATTTATTTACATTATGGTCTTTGTGATAGAAGGGGTACAGAAAGAAATCCCAGCATTTCTCAAGACTCATTCATGTTTCTAAATCAATCCAGAAAAGACATAATGCAATCAACTCATAATCATCTAGAGGTAGATTATTAAGTTTTACATCACAAATAGAAGCCAGGAAACTCCCATGAGCCATTTCAGGTCTGGCCAGGCTCTTTAGTTCAGATTTAGTCATTTAGATATAGTCCTGTTTGAAAACAGCTATGCTGCTTCTTTCAGTATTTCTGACCAATAACAAGTTGAACAGATTCTGCAGGAGAGAGGCAGGCAGGCTTCTTAGCATAGGCAGTAGCCAGGCTGCCTGCAAACAGAATAATCAGTGTGTTTTCCAGCAGCATCCTCCTAGTCCACCAGAAGCACAGCACCTTGATACCTACAGATTAGCCTGGGAGGGCCAGTGCTGACCTGCAGCTAAAATCAATCTAAACGGAAGATGACTCACCGTGGCCTATATGCCACACCCCGCAGCATGCTGGGTTAGGGGAAGTCTTACCCGTCCAAGTGTGAAAACAAAAAAAATGCAGAGAGTAGCCTGGCTAATAAGAGTTCTTGTGCAACTGAACATTAGGACAAAGCACTCAGCTAAGGGCCACCTAAATGGACCAGGTCAGACCAAGCGCTGTTAATGACTTTTGACACTCTGTTAGCCCTGACTAACCTGGAATGTGGATCCACTCCATAGAGCAGACTACACTCAGAAAAAAAGTTGGACTTACTTTTCCCATTACCTAAGCATCTCAGTTTCCCTTTATTCTGCTTAACTGGTTACTTGATCTGAATATATGGATTTGTATAGATTAATTTAAAAATGAAATTAATATTTAGTGACATTATTAATACAAAAATTAAAGAACACGGTATTACCTGGTATAGAGAAAAAATGTGACAGAATACGTGTGCCACATGCACGAATCAGTACGACAGAAACTAAGAAAAGGAAGTTGCTCTGATCAGACAGGTAGTCTATCATGTCTGCCCATTTTTAATATATTCTCTGAGAGTAGCAGAAGGTACAAATGGCTCATATTCTGTTACATATTTTTAGCTGACACACTCCAATTATAAAACTTACATTTTTCTCTACCACATTCAAAAGACAGGACAGATCTGAATATTCATCATTCTATATTGTTTTAGGTATATTTATATTTTACATTAAAAATATGGCAATGGAAAAAAAGTTAAAAACACTTCAGGATATATGCTAGATGAAACAATCATGGATGATGCCCATGTAATGAAACATATATTTCCAAAGTATGAAAAGTGACTTATTTCACCTTTTTCTAAACAGACCAAACAAATTTTTCAAATCTATATACTTCAAAAAAGAAATCAAACTACTATTTGGCTACACACTCATTTCTTCAAAGGACAACACTAGAAAGATAATTTGTTAGTTAGATCAACTACTGTTTTGAGACTCATATCTGCCTTGAAACACAGAAAACTCAGGTTTGCCACTAGTCTGTTCAGTGACCTTACACAAAATACCTTTTTCCTCTCCACCTCTTCCTACCCTGAGCATGAAAATGTAATATTGATCACCTTGAAATGAGAGGTACAATGTGAGAGAAAATTATTGCCATTATTACTACTTGTTGGGTCCTTTGTATCCTGTATAATGTCAGCAACCTCAACCTTTCAGAGCTGAACACACTAACTTTATTAAAGACCTGTCACCCATACATCTGCTTCTGTTCTGACATAAACAACAATTTCTATGGAAAACAACAAAAATACGAATTTATGTGGGAAGATGATAATGATTCTTTTTACTAGGATTATTTTCAAGCATGGATTTTATGCTATACTTATCACACAAGATAACTATACTTCAACATCATCTATTGACATGCCTTTCAATTGCCTACTTACCTGCTTACAAACTAGTCTTACAATACTTATAAAACAGATTCCACTCTGGTTCCAAAAGATCTCTGTTGCTTAGTTCCATAAAGCAGGACAGAGAGTACAGTCCTTATTTCAGAAACATTCACAATATGACACAACTGGGATGAAAAAGGAGGCCATAAGTACATTTCAGTAGAGAAAACAAAGTATAAGATAGTTGGCTTCAACAAAACAGTGAACTACATGGCAGAAACACCGAATTCTCTGACACCATGGAAAAATGACAAATTACTTGGCTGTGGAATAGCTGGGGCCTTGACTAAGATGAATTAGGCTGTCTATACCTCACAGAGTTTTTATTTCAGGAGCAGCTGCTTGAAATTCTTCCTAGCACTTTTAGTCAGAATATTGCCTATTTTTTCAAAAGACAAACTTTTCAGGAAAAATTATTCTCTTCGTTAGAAATTCTCCAACTTCATAAAATTTTCCAAAGTACTGGGAAGAAAGAAACAACATGGCTCCTTCTGTTTCTAAGCTCTGCAGCATTCCCCTGAAATTTGGAAGATCCTAGCCTGTTTATTCTATCTTATTTACAGCAAGGACACACACTTCTCCCACTTCTCCCACTTCTCAGTACTAAGCTATATTCCCCTCTGGTTCTTCAGTGTTCTGGATCTTTGTCAGAATCTCATGTTCCCTTAATATACAAAATAAAATATCTACTGGAGTGGAACTAGAACTACAGTATTTCTTCCTCAAGAAGATTAGCCATTATCACCCAAAATACAGAGGCATTTTTCTTTTCTTTTTGTAGATAGGTGTATTTTCAAAGTATTTATACAAAACAGAAGTACTCTGACCTTCTATGAAAAACTATCAGTTCTATCATATCTTGCAAATGTCTGGATAGGGGACTCTTCTCTAAAGACAAGATAATTGCATGTAAATCCCAAATCTAGCATCTTTCCATTTATAGCACATTTTTTTGCAAATTTCATCACAGTTATGCAAGAGAATGACTATATCAAGATATGAAAAAATAATGAAATACAACAAGCTTCCAAATGTGTAGGGTAAGAAAATTTTTTAAAAAATGGAAAAAAATTGCTTGTACTGTTTTAAGTTAAAAATTCTATTTTGTATCTTTCTTGCATCCCAATACCTCTTACATTTCAAAAAAATAGTGGTTTGTTAAAAGTTTTCTGGAAGTTTTTGGCATTCTTCTCCTTGGAAAAAAAAGGGTATAATAAAAATAATAATCTTAGACTGATAGGTCAAAAAACTATTGAAAAAAACTATTAACAATTTCTACAAGTGCTACATTTGGCCAGGAACATAAAGACCATGGAGTTTGGGACCAAATTGTGTTCCTGAAAACCTTTTTCCTACACAGAATTTCTTCAGTGCAAACTACTGAACTCTGACAAAAGGAATCTAATAGATTCAACTTCTGAACAGACCAGAGTGGCTGTGTAAATCATAACTTTGCTTTGCAATTACCATAACAATAATTTTCACAGTGCGTTTTTGCTACACAGAAACATTATCCTTGTTATTTTCTAAATAAATTCTCTGAGATCATATACAAGTTTGGTTCATTATGTAAAATACTGATGTCCTTCATGAAGGGTGCTTAAAACACAGCCTGAAGCAAATGGAAGAACTGCAAGAAGTATTTCTGCAGAACTGTATCAGGCAGTTAGAAAACATGAGCAAATACCTTATCAGCATTAAGGGTTTGTATTTAGCAATCTGTATTTAAAAATTATATTTGTGTAGGTTTCATTTTCTAGATGTCATTGTTTATGAATCATAAACAAGATTATCAATTTGTTCCACCCTAACCAGGTGTATATTCTCCTATTCACAAATCATTCACAAGGCTGCAATAATAATTAAATGTTATCAGATATTATCGAAACTGCAAGAACCTCCATAACAGTGCCATTTTCCAACATGGAATGATACTGGTTTTTGAGATACTGTCATTTTTCCTGCATAAGCATGTGCAAAAAAAAATATTAATGAATACCTTGTTAAAAATAAATTAAAGAGCCTGCACAGAAAAATGTTACAAGAGGATTCATTTTGATTTATTTTCTGCTTTGTTATTTTCTCAGATATGGCAAACAATGATAAGAAAAATAAAGTCTAATACATATGCTTACTTGGGATAAAATGGAAAGCTGATCGTGATAGGTTACTGCATTTTGATTAGCCTCCATGAAGAACTGCTGGGTTCGTCTCCTCTCCTGATCCAGTTTCTTCTCCAACATGAGATGAGAGGTGGATAGAACATCCAGGTATTTCATCATAACATCAGACAGCAGTGAGCTGACCTCCACTATGTCTGGACGTGCCTCTGCATCAGGAGTCAAGCGGCTACAGAAATAATATTCTCTATTTACTTATTTCTACAAAAAAAAACAACAAACATTTTTCACCACTGTATTTCTCCACTGGTATTTATGGAGTCATGCAGGCCAGCACTCTGTTCGTTCTGCATGGGACAGTTTGATGCTGTGCAGCCTTGTTGAAATACCACAGCACAGCCCCTGGTATCAGCTGGAACAATTATCCTTGGCACCAATCCAGACAAAACTGCAACTAGGGGCTGCAGCTGTGCACCCCCAGGCACACTAGGGAGTGCCCAGGGCCTATTCGTGGGACTGGGAGAGACATTGCCTCCCTTGTGGCGACTGTGCTCTAGTCAAGGAGCTGCACCACTGAACAAAGCATCTGTGAAGGAGAGGAGTGTGTTGTCAGAAGGATTTACAGGAGAATGTCACGATTCTCACAGAGACTTTGCAGAGACAAACAACGCTCTCAAAACAATGCAAAGAAGGAGGAAAATCTAGAGCTTACCCTCAAAGAATCAGTGGATGGAGGCTCCCAAGAGGAGCTAGATTGGAGACTTGTGACTTCTGCCAAGAGAAGGAAGGCTTTTCCTCTGACTACAGATATATAATTACAGAATAGGTATAGTGACCTAGCAAAAGGTGAGGAAGAATAAGACCTAACAGAGGACACATCAGAGCCAGGTGAGTCTGAATCAAGAGTTCACATCACAAATAAGATGCAGTAGCTGACAGTCATTTGAGGCTGAGGAACAGAGGCATCCATCTACTTGATCTGATTTGATGTCTGTGATGTCTGTTGCTTGGACTCGGGACATTGTGGAGATACTACCAATTCATCCTGACCCTTGGGCTATTACTTCTTGCTGTTCATTCATATGGGCACAAATAACACTATCAGGGTCAACTCCGAACACACTGAAAGTAACTACAGTGCACTGGGATCAAGTGTGAAGGACACTGAACAGAGATGGTGATCTCCTTAATTCTATCAGTGAGGAGGAAAGGCTCAGGTCAGGGTGGGTGCAACCTGACTGTGTATAGTCAAAAGCTTACAAGTGAGGATCAGAGGAACAGACCAACATGGGTGACATTGTGGTAGACACCTGCTATAAACCACATAAAACCAAAGAGGAAGTCAATGAAGCCTTTGTTGGACAGATGGAGAAAGCTTTGTGATGGTAGACACTCATACTCATTGGGGCCTATTAACCACCCTAATATCTGCTGATGGAATGGTTGACTGCAGCAATCAGGAGACTTCTGGAATCTGCTGATGACAATTTCTTGGTGAAGCTGATTCAGAAGCTAACTAGCAAAGGCACTCTGCCAGATCTGTTGCTCACAGACAAGGAAGAACCAGACAAGGATGTGAAGATTAAGGACAGCCTTGGCTACAGCAGCCATCAGACTGGAGTTCAAAATCCCAAAAGTGAGAGAGATCGTATTGTTACAACAAAGGACTTCAGGACTAGACAACTTCCAGGGGCCCCTTCCAATCTAAATCACTTTACAGTTCCATGGTTCTTGTTTCAGGCACCCTAGGTAGCTGTTTAGTGACTGAAATAATATACTATTAGGTCTATTTTTAAATCCCCAGAATATTTTGTATGCAATGTAGGACAGAAAAGCTGATAGGGACAGTTCTGCATGCACTACAAAACTCTTAAATCTTAACTCCAGTGAACCTGATAATTTACTACAATTTCCCTACAGAGTACTATTGACCTGCTAGCACACATAACCCAACACTCTTCTTTAAAGAAAGTCACAGAATGGTTTATTATTTCTAAAACAGTTCTAAGTAAAACACAACTGCCATGTGAAGTAGCAGTTCTGAAAATATTTTACAATACTTGAACTCCTTGATTTTAATCTTTTCTGTTTAAATTTTCTCAAATACATTAATTTAAATAATTTTCATAACTTTTAAAATCTGTTTTACTTGAAATTTTATATTTCTTTTGAAGAGGTGCAAGTTTTTCACCCTTAAGAAATATTCTTGTTTGGGATTTTTTAATTTTTTCTTTTTAGTCCACTGAAATTGGTCAAAATTTCCCAGAACAATGTGAGCTATAAAACATTTCTCATGAGTTCTATTTCCATTTCCCATGCATCTAGAAATGATTTATGACTAAACACCAACTAGATTGATGTTCAGCTCTGAAAAACTTCGGTGATTATGATTCCAGAACTTTCTTTTGTAGTTTAATCCAATAAAACTGTATTTTAATAACAATACTGAAGAAGAATAATAACACTAAATGCAAATTTACAGTTGCAACATTAAGCTTTCAACGTTTTTTCTAATCATGATCAAGAAATTATTTTTATATTTATGACATTCATCTTTGAATATGTATTGTGTTTCAGTCATTCAAAAATAGCTCCTTTTCTGTTAATTTTTCCTCACATATATTATAACTAAAATCTCATTATTACTGCTTTTCTTTAATGTTCCTTATTCTTTCTAAATATCTCACAACCTAAACAAAGCCTTAATTTAAGAATTAACCCATAGTAAGAGATAATATTAAAAATAAAACAAATAAAAACAAACAACACTTTACGCTTCTCATGCTATTAAAATATGTAGATAAATCATTAGGTAATGTAAAAATTTTAATATTTTCATTAAAATTAATTTCCAAATCTCCTAAACGTAAATTTTAGTACTATTAGCACCTATACTCGCCATTGTTGTCCTTCATTCTCAGGGTCTTTAAATAATAGAAACCTTTTTGTACAATAAAACATAGTATGAAACCCTTAGTCTTTGTACAGTAAAGTGCTTTTTTAGAGATGGAATTGCATATCTGAGAAAGTATAAGCATTTTTGTGCTAAGTGGGGCTTTTTCTAAAATGGAAAAATCAAGGGAGCTAGATCTCCACTTCGCTCTGTGCTTTGCTTTACACATGACATTATCACCAGAAGGATGTAAACATAGCTAAGAGAAATATGTGATGAGTGAGTAGAACAAATACAGTCTCATTTTTTCCTCCATTACTGCATTCTCTCTGCTTTGTTATCTCTGCTATCATGCTAATGGGATTATAAGGCAGTGGAAAACATATTTCCATCAGTCAAATAAACAGAAAAACTATGAATGTGATCACACAGTGATCTATAAATAACATATTGTAACAGGGTTACTTCCTTGACCATAATCTGTATTTGAATATTACTCAAAATGCTGTATTTTCATGGGGGGAAAAAAATTGATGTGTAGGGAATTAACTACAGTGCTGATACTGTTAAATTTAAAAATTTAAAGAGTATACTGGCTAAATGAATGTGCTGACTATACTGGTATGTTTTCCCGTTGCATGTGTGCAGCTGTATCGTAGATGTTATTATTGAGGTAAGGAGATACCTCTGTTTTTCCTTAAATCTAAAGATATTTCCTTTTCAGAGACAAATACTGGCAGTTGCTTAAGTCTGCAAACTGTCACATTATCTCTGCTGGAAGCACAGAAAACAAAAACATCTTTTCAGAAGGATGTCGAAATAAAATGAGTAATTACCTCTTAATGGTAAATGACACTTTTTCAGAGTACAGTCCTTCTGGCACAGGTTCATACATAGCCCCTACTATCTGAAAAATAAATAATCTACAGTTTGTTGAAGAAAAACACTCCATTATTTATTTCAAGACCCCATATGATAAATATTGTTTCTTTATTGATGGGCATCACATCATCAGCTCTAACTTGCAAAACAACTTAGAACACATCTTCTAATGCAGAATGTCACTTCCAATCGGGTATCCACATTAATGTATATAATCACTGCAGACTAAAGTGCTACAATATCAAAATCAAGGAAACAATAAACACAAACCCCCAATTATTTATTTTAATTTATGAAATCTTCTGAAGATGTAGATACACAACGCTGTAGAAAATCCAATATTGTTACATCAAGCAATTTTATATATCTGAAGCTCCTATCACTAAATGCAATGAGTAAAATATGCTAGTCTGAGAGGTAATAAGAGATTAATATTTACAAGCAATTTTTGCAATTAGAATGGCAAGATACCAACTCACACAATGATAAACACTTGTGCTCATTCACACATTAGAACTGAGAGCAGTTTGTGCATCTATAACCTTAAATTCCCACGGATCATGCGAACACATGCAGAAATAACTGGTACATTGGTCTCGCAAATCTGAATACCTTAGTAGCCAAGGAGAGCATATTGGTGCTGTAAAATGGTGGGTTCAGAGTTGCCATCTGATAAAGGATGCATCCTGCAGCCCAGACATCAGCCTTCTCTCCATACGGCTCACTCTTTACAACTTCAGGACTAAGTAGAAAGCAATGCAAGTCACAAGCATTGAATGAATTCACCTAGAAGTAGGCTTATTTTCTAAAAAACCCCACCCAATATTTAGTTAGTCACTACAACATCATTTCAGAGCACACACACATTCAAAAGGCTGTATTTATTTCCTTTATCAGCCAAATTCTTTAAGAGGAAGCACAATTAATAGCTTTTCGACCTCTACTGAAGTTCTTCTCATAACACTAATGGTTTTTATGTTGTTCACTTGTCCTTTCCACTCATTCTATGTCTTTGGACTTAATGGATACAAGTGAACTACAGCATTTAGAACTTGTTTACAGTATGGCATTTCAATAAAATGGACTAGAGAATAGATAAGTATATCACATCATCTTGTAATTCAGATATCAGAAAGATTTAAATTCAACTCCCATATTTAGAATGCTAATGGATACAGGTTTGCTATTAATGTAAGTCAATAAACTTTACTCATTGTATCATTTTCATCCTCTTTAAACTACTGTAATGCATTTGTGTGAGGATGCAGCATGGACACTCAGCAGCCAGCCAGATGACAATACAAAAAAATATTGTAAAGATCCATTTAAAGCAACTGGAAGAAGGCAGCAATTTCAGACTCCACTTCCCTTTTCTAATTTCTTCAGTACTTTTCATGAACCTGGATGATAATAATTTATATTAGTAGGTATATTCTGATGTTGGAGGTCAAGTCTTAGCAGTAAGTAAGAGCCATATCGCAGGATGTGGTTTGAGGGTTTTTTGCACTTATTTTTTTTCTCTCTGTAATCATTCAGAGATACAAAAACTACTTGACTTCTTTCATCTGAAAATCAACTTGAAAACCTACTTGTTTACGTTACCCCCTTCAGCTTAGAATTTGGAACCACTATATCAGCTTCATAATTATACTACTGATATCTTTGGTAAAATGCCTTATTTTGGAGCTGAGAGGTACTGTGTAAATTCAACTAATGATGGTAGAAGATGTCCTGCTGCTATGTATAAAATGCAGAAAACGGATTTTTAAAATAAATGGGATGAAGTCCCAAGATAAATTATGATAAGATAAATTAAATTAATTTAACAGAATAGAAAGGCAGAACAGAGGTCACAGTGCAGGAAGGTGAGAGAAACTGACAGGTCACACACTTCTGATAAAATTGATCAAGTGAGATACAGATTCCTGAGGGAAACCTAATTAGCAATTTTCCTTGAATCTTCCGCTGCTGTTATGTAACAATAGAGTGGAATACGGGATATTGAATATGGTGTTAGAACATAATAGCATTTCTGCAATCACACTGTCTGTGACGGTCTGTGACACTAACTCATGACTTTGTGGAAATTTCATTTTTATGTATTAGAAGTGTCTATTAGAGCAAACATCAGTATAGCAACTTAGATAGACAGTGAGCTCAGTAAGGCAAAGTCCCTGTCTTTGTAAAGTTCTAAGCATGCTCCTATTCAGAAAAATAAATCTGACTTGAATTCCAGTCTTTCATTCTAGTGATAATTTTCATGTATAGAGATCAAGTTAAAAATTACTATTTTTAAAGGACTAAATTATATTAAAATACCAAATTGAGATTATTCAAGCCAAATTTATGTAACTATGCAAAATTCCACACAATGCATAGCACTCACAGGAAGAGTAAGTTGAATACAACCAAGAGAGAAACAGAAGTACCCATTAGCTGGCCTGCAGAATCTTGTGTTTGTGAACAGCAGAGAAGAACCTTGCTTGATGTCCAGAGCAAACAGACTTGAAAAAATAATACTATGATTTAGAAATCACAGAAAGAATATAGTGCTGACAAAGTTGTAGTTTTAGCATGGTTTTACACAAATGCACAACAGCTGGAAGTTAATGAAGTAATTTGTTCTGTTTATTCATGCTGAAAGATTTCATGTTCTAAATGCACATCTAATGCCTTTTTCTTTTTCCTTTTTTTTAATCAAAAGGAGGACTTGCAGCAGAGTACTATTTGATCTTTTCTTCCAGAACAAATGTCTTAGTCAGAAGTCTCTGATATTTAGAGCATTAGGAGGATGACCAACACCATAAAAAATCCTGTCCCATGCTTAAGAAATACTTTAAATTAGCAAAGTAATATTTTTTTAAGGTGACCATGAAAGTTTTAGAGCAAATATAAAATCCCATACTTATACGATGCTATACTTTTATGGTTAATTCATACTGTAATTTAGATTTTTTTTTAATAGGATTTTCAAATATTATTTATTTACTTCTAAGAGATGTAGTGAAATCCCTCACCATGCTCTACAGGCCTGCCTCACCATCTGCTAGTTAGAAATGTGGGTGGGGTACAGTACTTGTTGACTAGCAAAACAGTTCTGCAGCCAGTTGCATCTTTTGGATCCACACTGTTGAGGGATGCCAAGCAGAGAAAGTACCCACTTCTGTTCCTGTACACTGACACCCACAAACAGGAGGGTGGTGGGAGTACATATGGTTTGCCTAATTCAGTTGACAACTGTGTATAAACTGTCACTGTCTGGTCAAGACCAGAAAGAATGAGTAGAACCAGTCTTACTCACAAACACTGAAAATTTAATGGCATAGTGGTGGTATGACCTTTTCTCGGTTTATTTGTAAAGGCAGGATTCTTCTTTAATTCTTAGATTTAGAGATCTCAATTGGCTGAAAAAGGACAGTGGTACTAATTAAATTTTTAGCAAACAGATGTCTGCATCAGTTTCAAATGCATTCAGTGTCAAAACAGAACACAGAAAAGGGGGGAACTCTAGCTGATAAAGAATGACATTTCCATTGCTTCAAGGGCTGCTTTTACTGCCACAAAGCAGCAGTACTGATGCCATGCTCTCTGATATCCACAGTTATTAAAAGTGGTGACAGATACTTATCTAATTAGAAATTTAATTCTTGCAGCTAACATATTCAAGATAATCACTACAGTTTTCATCTAAGTTTACAAATAACTGGTCATTTCCAAATTACATACTCAAGCTGAAAAAGCTTACTCCAGGAACATTATGTTAACTATGAGAGGGTCCTTTACTAAAAAAATGTCCGCAGCAAAAATTCTTCTAAATGAAAGACACAAAATTATATCTACAGAATAAGTGTCCTAATTCTCAGCATCTAACACACAATTTTATAATTGTTTCTCAGAAAGTTCACTCTTGTTCAATATACAAGCACTGTTTTTATTCTTAATAACAAAGTCTTCTATGCCAACAGCCTTAAAATGAGCCATTGCTTAATCCAAAGAGTTACTTGTTTTTTCTTCTGAACTACTTCTACAAAATTTTAAGCAGCTACTTTAAATACAGAAGATAGCTTTCCATACTACCCTACATTTTTAAATAGGATTTAAAAAAAATTATAATAACCAAATCTTTTCAGTATTTGTGCTACTTGTAAGATATCAAACACATTTAACTAAATCATCCCTACATGGCCTTGGAGATATTTTTGCAATCAAGCTTTCATTTATAATTTTGCTTACTGATGTTATTTTGTCATGGTTTTTCTTTAAGAATACTTTTAAATTAAAACTGAATCTGCTATATTTGCACTAACACATAGGTATATGATAGAGGACTATCCTCACTCAATTAGCTCACGTTCACATTAGTTATCAGTAGACAGAAGTTTCAAAATGAAGAAAGAAGTCCTGAATTTGGAGAGGGAAGAAAAGAGGAGACAGGGGAATGAAGCATTAATTTCCTAGAGCTTCTAAAACTTCTAAAAAATGTTGTCAATACTATCAGGCTGACTTTATATGGGGCAAAACCAGTGAAGATTTCCCACTCTGCACAGAACTTCAATAAGCCACTTGTGAGTTATCTTAGTACAGTGTTCACTGGTGCTTCCAACAGGTGTAAGAACATGCTGGTATATGGCATTCTATAAAGTATGAGGACTATTTTCAAGTAAGACATGGTTTCAACTAGACAGTTATGAAACCAGTGTGAAAAAAACTACATTTACTCTATAATCAGTTCTCTGAGTCACAGAAAGAAGGGGAAAAAACTATAAGGAAAAAAAATATAGCTGCTCACCATCAGCATCATCCCAAAAGAGAAAAAGAAATAGAAACCCAGTTGCTCCTTGTCACAGTTTTTCTCTGGCTAGTTTGCTGTAAGCTACGGATACACGTTCAATATTATAGCTTCAATAATTACCAGTAAAACCAATGGAAGAAGAAACAGGAGCCACAAAACTGACAATTTGAATAAAGAGCTCCTGAGAACACTGCTGTAAGCTATTTGCATTTCTCACCTACATGAAGAATTCAACACAAGCCTTTTGGGAATATTCTGCCTATCCCTTGAGTGATGAAGTAGGAACAGGATTTTCAAATGCTAGTTAAAAATTTTACTTTCACAGTTTTCTATTTTGAATGTAAGGCCAAGTAAGTCTATAATAATTTAGTATGTTGCCTTCTAACTTGCTACCGTTTTTTCTCATTACAAATTATATTTAATATATATATATATATAAAATTTTCTTCACAAAAGACATCTTTTCAAGCATTCTAAACTTCTGCTGACATTTAGAGAAAAATTCATCATTTCCATCATTTTTTAAAATGTACAGGAAGAAATTTACTACCTTCAGATGGCAATTTTACAGTGTCATAAATCCTCTTGCCATCAGGTGGGGAATGTAATTTTGAAAAGGGTGAAGTCAGCTAAGAGAGGCCACTTTCATGTGTAAGCTCTCTCATCAGTGTAATCTCAATATTTTTATTTTCTAGTCCAAGCATTGCCTGTCTCTGCCCAGAAAGTTCCTCTATATTCATATAATTTAGTCTATAGAGAGGCAAAACTAATCCACATTCAGTGACAGGCCACTAATAGCTGTAGGATACAGCTGACTATATAATGCCTGCCTTATGTTTTTCTTAATGTTTTTCAAAAAAACCTAAACACTAGTTTGATGTGGAAGAACTGCAACTAGTAATAAATTTGTGTAAAGTGTCTCAATCTAAAACATCAATAATCACTGAAAA